TTCATATACACTTATCTGCAAAAAACAATGGAGTTTATTGCTTCCCATATGATTTTGTTATTTGGTTCTTGAACTATCTTAAAAATCAAGATTTTTACCCCCTTATTGAGGTGCTCTGGAAGTTGTTAAACGCATAAGTTAGCCAATTGGTCAAGATATTATAATTTCAATAGTTTTGATTTTGTCACTTCCTCAACTTTCCTCCTTCTAGACTGAATTCTAATCACTAGTCTATCTTCACATAGAAGCCACTTCATCCCTTAGATAATTTTCATTGTCTTTTTAAAATCATCCTATAGTCATACAAATGACTGTACAAATGAATCACAAAAATCATACACTAATTTGCTGTATTAGTGGGTTCATTTTTACCCTTATTAGTTTTTTATTAATAATGTAATTTTTTCCTGTAAGTCATACATAGATTGACCACAGGCCCTAGAAATTCCACTCCTAGGTATCTACCGAAGAGAAATGAAAACATATGTCCACTCAGAAACAGGAGCATGCCACTGGGAGTTTCCACGGGAGAAATGCACTGTATTTATAAGCAAGCAGCCTCTTTCCCCTAGGACTGACTATAGAGCCTGCCCAAGAAGACTTGCCTTGTTATTGTTATTGTTGATGGTCCCTTCCTTATGACCAGTACCCAAGGAAGTCTGGCAATCAGATTGGTTTCTAGAGGGTGGTTCCAGAATCAAGGACCATGGCTCAGTATGGAAAACAGCTGTTCTAATTCTAATTCCATCCTCATGGAAGACGATAAGAACAAGTCAGCCCAATGAGCTGAATTATTGGCTGTGTCTTTGGCAGTGATAAAACTGAACACAAATTAAAACTGCAAACCATATATGTGGGTTTATAATGATTCTTGGCTCATTGACAATGAGCTTATAAATTAGTCTAGCAAGTGTGCACTAGAAAACTGAGCAAGAGAAGGGACCTCCTCTGTCCCTGTGTATGGTACTGCTTTTTGGAAATCTCTATGGAAATTGTGAGAGCAAATCAAAGTAGTACATGGTGGTGCTTATCAAATAAACCATATGCCAGGGTCTGTGGTGCCAAGTTGACACTCTAGTTCAACCTAGGTCCACTCATTTAATGGACACAGGGGAAACTCAAGCAATGCAATGATGGGCTAAATGATGACATGCCACTGGCCCCCCCTGACGTTCAAACTCGTGATAAAACACACCTTATTTGCCAACAAGAAAGGCAGCATTTGAAGTTCTCCTGGAGAAGTAGTCCCAGGGAAAATGTCCATCGTATAGCTAGCAAGTAAATTCCACTGTCTCTTAACCTATTGTTTGGGGGACTTACATTGTTAGGACTTGACACACATTCTAGGTTTGGTGTCATACCCATTGGCTTGTCAATGCTGCTAACATTATCAAAGGACCAATAATAACAATAGTATAGCTATATGTGTGTGTGTGTGTGTATGTATAACCAGTTTGGCCCAACTAGTTACATTTCATCAGATGAAGACACTCAGTGCACTGCCTACAAAATGGGCAAAGAATATCATGTTTGATAGGTTTATCATATTACTTTTCACCCTCAAAAAAATGGGTTAATAGAAAATTGGAGGCTGCATGCAGTGGCTCATGCCTGTAATCCCAGCACTCTGGGAGGCTAAGACGGGAGGATCACTTGAGGTCAGGGGTTCAAGACCAGCCTGAGCAAGTGACACTCTGTCTCTACCAAAAATAGAAAAAATCAGTCGGACGTGGCGGCACATGTCCGTAGTACCAGCTACTCTGGAGGCCAAGGCAGGAGGCTCGCTTGAATCCAGGAGTTCTAGGTTGCTGTGAGCTAGGCTGATGCCATGCCACAGCACTCTAGCCTGGGCAACAGAACAAAACTCTGTCTCAAAAAAAAAAAAAAAGGAAATTTAAAACAGCTGCTTTAAAAAGTGAGGGCAACAAAGGATCAAAGGGCTGGTTCACAAACACGGCATTGTGTCTTGCAACTTAACATGAGGGGGATTAAAGGTGGGTCTCCATTATATAATTAGGTAAAATCAATATTGTATAAGCTAGCAAAACTCATAATACTGATATTAACAATCAAATGTATTGGGAGATGGAATGAAACCCCCCTCAGGATATTATCTCTATGGAACAGAATTGGCCTGAAGAACGTTTTGACTTGAGCAACGATAGATCAATTATAGTTCTAAATCACTCAACAGGCACACACCACAAAGTACAGATGGCTGTAGATCAGGTAGGCAAATGAACTGGAAACTTAATTTGAAAATATGAGAATGTTTATGCTGGAAGTTTTCAATGGCTCAGTTGTTTAAATCCAAGCCAACTAGCTATTTCAAATGTGTGGCATCTGTATATACATTTTGACTATCTATTTGGTTACATGATACTGTAAGACAAGTGGTAGCTGTCAAACTAAGGTGATCAGTTTGTTGTAAAAAGGCCGTGATCATGGATCAGGGGTATAGACTGTGCCATGAGGGATTATTTTGAGCATGACTATTTTCCGAGGTGGGGATAAAAAACCACACACATGCAAACACACACACACACACACACACACACACACACACCTTTGCTGGAGTTACAAGGAAGATAATTGGTGTAGCAAGTTCCCCAAAGAGAAAGATTAGGATCAACAGACAGCATGTGTGTCTGTGTGTGGATCAGACTTGGTCAGAAGGTTCACCTCTTTGTCTGCAGCACTTAGAGAAGTGTCCCTTTAAGAGGGTTGAGAAGTGAATGCAAGTGATTAGATGAAGGCCTGATTTTCCTTTCTAGAAGCTTAGCTAGTGCAGTAGTCACCCCTTATCTGAGGTTTCAGTCACCAGCAGTCAACCATCGTCTGAAAACGGTAAATGGAAAATTCCAGAAATAAACAATTCATAAATTTTAAACTACGTACTGTTCTGAGTAGCAATGAAATCTCTCACCCGCCCGCTCTGCCCTTCCCAGGATGTGAACCCTCCCTTTATCTAGTATATCCACACAGTCTACACTACTTGCTCTTTAGTCACTTAGTAGCTGTATCATTACAAAATTGTATGCTGAAGTTGCTAAGATCTATGGTAAGAATGAATCTTCTATCCATGAAATTGTGAAGAAGGGAAAAAAAAATTCATGATAGTTTTGCTGTTGCACCTCAAACTGAAAAAGTTGTGGCCACAGTGCATTATAAATGCTTAGTTAAGATGGAAAAAGCAATAAATTTGTGGGTGGAAGACATGAACAGAAACGTGTTCCAATTGATGACAACATACTGCACCAGATGAACTTAATTAAACTTTATCATAGGTCTGTATGTATAGGACAAAGCATGGTGTATACAAGGTTTGGTACTATCCATAGTTTCAGGCATCCACTGGGGGTCCTGAAACACATCCCTCGAGGATAAGGAGGGACTATAAGCAAGGAGGAGAGAGAAACTTAATCAGAGTATGCAAATATGTATAAATCTATAAAGGACTGTAAACTTAGGGAGCTAATGCCTGGTGGTCTCTATTTTCTCTGTGAAAGATGAAATAACACAATCAGCTAAGAAAATGTAGTGCAGGTTTGGAACAGCTATTGAGAAGAATGCAGAGGGGGCGTGTAACAGAACTGCTGAGTAGCATTTAGGCCTGGCAATGTATACCCTAAGGGTGCACCAATCCACACAACTGCATCGATTTCTCAACTAGGATTCAGTCCAAATGTAGAACGAATAGGTGCGTCTGTGATGGATGAAAAAGGACACTAGGATATAAAGGAGATAAAGGTGTTGGCAAGGGAATAGTTGAAACCTGTGACTCATTTCAAGGCACACATTCTATGCAGATTTTCACGAATAAAAAAAATTATGTTTCCTTTCTGAGACCTAGGATTAGTCCCTTATACTCAAAAAATATTTAGATATTTTTGAATGAGTGAATTAATTAATTAAAAAACCCCAAATATGACTTTGCTAAACACTCCTGAATACAAGTGTTAGGTTTAAATTTGGAATGAATATGTTCATTATTTTAGAGAATTAGAAGTCTGTCCTTCCTATAATTTACTTATACTAAGCTACCTTCCTATAATTTACTAGACTAAAATAACTAGACTCATGCCAAACCCTAATAAAGTCCAGTCTGGAACACAAAAGTTTATTAGAATAAAAATACATATACAGTATCTAACATTAAAATTATTTCATACTGTGTGTAGGTTTTATCTCCATTAGTTTTTTTTTTTTTTAATGCTTTTAAAGTCTATGCTGTAAATAATTTGCATACCTATAAACAAATCGTACATTACCAAAGATGCAATGTACCCATCAGATGCTGAATATCAAAATTTAAGGATGAGAACTGATAGTTATATCAAATTACACTAAATATTTCTGTAAATTTTTGGAAAAAGAGGAAAAGATTAAAATAATTCACTTAAAATGAGGTAAGTTGTATGAAAAGGTTTTTAGTAGCACATAACACCAATGCTGAGATGAGAATATTAAAAATATTCATGGAAAATTTACTTCAACATTTGCACAGTCTAGGTTATTTCTTTAAAACAAAAAATTGAAAATTACTCAAATTCTTTATTAGAAAAAGACACAATTATCTGGTTCTACTGAGGATCTGTGTACCTTCTAAGCTTTTTCTCTTATTTAGAAAAAAAGAAGTAATACATTCTCAAGTCTACTGAAAAGGAAAAAAAAACAAATTAAGATTAGGACCAACATTTCAAGCTGCCTTTTGGAAAGAAAATTAAAAACAGAGGTAGATGGTTAATTATTAGTTGCCAAGTTACCCAAGTGACTAATTTTTGTCTTGGTACACATTTACCAAAATTTTGCACTTGAAGCCAAATAGTAAATAACTTTAGGAGTAAAGAGTAATACCTAGTAGAAGTTATTTCCTTACGTCAAAGAAATGTAATAAAAGTGAACCAGGCTTAAGACCCCTGTTAAAGAGATGATTGTTTAAAGCACTACAGTTCATGCACTTTTAAAGCAGGAGAATGAACCTTGCCCCTAAGCTTCTTAGGTGTGTCTGAGGCCAGCCACAAGCTCCGTCAGGTCCGGTCAGTCAAAGTAGGACTGCAGGGTGCCTCGGCGCCGGACGTCGCAGGTCCAGCAGTGGAAGCCTCCTCCCAGGGAATTGGCGTTCCGAATGTTAACCTTAATGGTATTGATACCTGCATTGAAAAAGAGATGTGGTCAATTAGATGAATTAACATAAAGACTTTCCTACAGAAAGCAAGCCTAAAGACTTGGAGGAATCCCATGGTTCTAATCCTTAAGGCTACCCTCACCCAGAACAGTCTTTTCTCTTTCAATTTTATTTTTACCAACTATATGACATCTAATATATTCCACTGCTAATATAAAGTATTCATCAAAAAGTCAACAGAGACTCTGAAGTTTTGTTCTATTGACTATTCACAAGTCAATAGACTGGATGAGCATACATACTTAACAAATATTCAAAACTGAGTACTGAAATATTAAGGTGTTTTAAAATTATACTTTAATTTGACAGACTGTTTCTAATTTTACCATGTTAATTTAGTAAGAAAAGCATAATTTAGCCAACTTGGAAAGCTGACTTCATATACTCACATATAAAGAGAGTTTATCTGATATAGATTAACTTTACCAGGACACATTAAGGAAACAAGAGAACAGCGCAGGTATTTTCAAATTGGGGATGTATGGTTATATAGGTACCAAAGATAATCAATTGGTTTAACCGAGTACCATATGTAACACCAAGGCTGTGACGTGCATGGCCTACTTAACCAACAGTCTTTAGGAAGAATCTGTTGCATTAGACATAGTGAGGTTTAAAAATAAATCTATGCTCCTCTTTCAAGGAATTCATTATTTTAAGGGGGCAGATAAGCTACAGAGTCATTAAAGGGTCTATTGGTATAGTTAGGGAGAAGGAGGAGGCATGAGTCATTCAGGAAGACTTCCTGAGAAAGTGAGACTGAGAGTGGCTCTGAAGAGGAAGAATGCAGTTTGAACAAGGGCAAGAAGGGGATTTGGGGTAAGGAGTGGGCTTGTAAACGCCAGCAAAAGTTTTCTGATAGAACCAGGTATCTATCTTAGTCGGATGGCTAGGGACATATTAATCCTGAATGGGAGGGGATTCATTTGGTTGATCGAGTTTGCTTTAACAAGTTCCCTGTGTCTAAAAAGACTTTTTTTTTTTGAGGCAAAGTCTCACTCTATTGCCCTAGCTAGAGTGCTGTGGCGTCAGCGTAGCTCACAGCAACCTCAAACTCCTGGGCTCAAGCAATCCTCCTGCCTCAGCCTCCCGAGTAGCTGGGACTACAGGCATGTGCCACCATGTCCAGCTAATTTTTTCTATATATATTTAGTTGGGCAGTTAATTTCTTTCTATTTATAGTAGAGATGGGGTCTCACTCTTGCTCAGGCTGGTCTCGAAGTCCTGACCTTGAGTGATCTGCTCGCCTTGGCCTCCCAGAATGCTAGGATTACAGGCGTGAGCAACCGTGCCCACCCAAAACAGACTTTAATTACTAAAAGTAAAATTATAAATTAGATATTTGGTACTTTCCACTATGTTAAGCTGATAAACAACAAAATCTTAATAGACAAAGAAAATGAACCCAAGCATCTGGGTTATTTAACAAAAGCCAGGGGAAAAAGTGGCGTAGCATTAGGGGTCAAATCATTAGGGCTCAATATAAAACTGACAGGCCAAACTTTTAAAAGTAATCCTACACTGGCTAAGTCATAGAAGACTGATAAACTTATTGATAAGGAGGTGTCTCAGGAGCTCAGGCTGTACCTTCAACTTCTTGAGGCTATGCTTGTTGAAAACAAAATACTGGACATATATAAAATAATAACTTAGTGACTCTAAAAGGAATAGAAATTAAATTAGATAAATCATACATCAAACCTAGTATGTCATTTCTTTGGTTCTTCTCCTTTAACATTTTCATACACAGCATGGTTCATTTATTGTACATACCCAGCTTTTCAAACATCTTTTGAATTGGGACTTCATTGGCATCCACCATAACGCGTTTTTCATCTAACATTAAGACATTCATGGAAAGCCATTTGGATGACATCCAGAGTGGATGATCTAAAAACAGCAACGACTGTTAAACCATGTCTGCTATCATTTTTTTTTTTTCCCAGAGGAAATGGTACTTTAATTTGGTTAGTGTCCCTACCACAAACAAATATATTTATATAGATCTAAGAATATATATATAGATAATTTCTATATTTTCTTAAAACAATTGTATTTCATTCATTTTTTTTTCGGCATATTAAGGGGGTACAGATTTTAAGGTTTCAAGAAATGCCCATTTCCCCCCCTCCCCCCAAAAGTCTGAGTCTCCATCATGACCATCCCCTGCTATCATTTTTTTAAAGCAAGAATTTACTTGAAGTGAAGAATATCAAAGTGAACCAGCTCAATTCTTTCAGTAGTTCACTTTCCATGTGAAAACTTATTTTAATCTTGACACAATTCATCAATAAAAGTTATGAATCAATCCATACTCATTACACATTTGGATTTCATCCTGTTTTCCTTAAAAAGTCATATCTTGGCTTTATGCGATATTGTTTTATTCTGTCTTCTCATTTTCATTTTCTATGGAAGAAAAAGTTGCAAACACAAGTCCCAGCCTTATTCTAGCACTTATAGTTCTAAGTACTACTTTATTCCTTACCTGGGGAAACATTTTCTCTAAATTGCTAACATTTGGGCTGCTCTCTATAGGTGAAAGATCCGTGGTCACCAAAGCAATCATTTTAGTCTATAAGCATATAAAAGTAAACATACCATCTGGGATGACTGGTGTTGGAGGAGTCACTATGGTCCACCCTGCTTTCTTGAAAAGATCAATCTGCAAGACCAAAAAAATTTAAAGAGGCTTAAATCCATATATACTATTCTTATTATTCCTGGTTTCTGATAGCCCTTATCTCATCAGTAATCCTTTCTGAGAAGCTGTCTTCTCAATTGCCAAAATAAAGAAATTTTCAAAACATTTGGATGATTTTGTCTGAATCCTAATTAAAAATGTATATAAAATCCTCAGATTCAAGTTTAAAAGTAACAGAAATATTACAACGTTTAAAGTTATTCTTGTGCTTTTCTCAGGTTTCAGAGATTTAAAATACCAAAGATACTTTCCTTAAGAAACTCTCATTTATAAAAAAAAAGAAACTATTTCCTATTTAGTTATAAGAAAACAAAAAATGTGACTATATCAAACCTGTAGTCCATCCATTTCATTGTCTATCACTTTGTATTTATGACAAATGATAGAGATGTATTTAAAAAAAACATAATTGTCCTTAGTGACATACTACAACTCAGCCATCCCTGTGTTTATATACCCACTTATTATATTGATAAATATTAAAATGAAATGAATAAGTCATTTTGGTCACTAGGTCTAAAAATAAGGGATAGAAATGAACAGTGACATGGTATAATAGTGGTTTTAAAAAGGTGTGCTGCAGCTTTGCAAGTAACAAAAGCACTCACCACCCAACTGGAAGTAGGGGGCCACAGGCAGAAAGTTAGGAATGGGGACAGACCAGTTGCAGCACAGTGGCTCTGCTTGCCCCTGCAGGGTGGAGCTGGCCACAGGGAGCCTGACCCTACTGGACAGGGAAGACACTGTCCAGTGGCATTGCCCTGGCCATGCAGAGAGATCATCTTGTTTACAATTCAGCTGCTGTGGAACCACTTCTGCAAGTTATGAGATAATACCACTCCGTTCAATAAAAATACACATATATGCACAAACTTGAGGCTTTGACAACAGCAAGCAGCCAAAGTCTGATGACATTACACTAATTATCATGGCAACAATGTATAATTCTGAGTGTTGGACAGCGAGTAATCAACACGCCATAAGCAATCCAAGGTTTGATCATCAAACGTTGAGCATTGCCGCATTTGTCAGAACCACCAAGAATCATGGAAGTGCTTAAAAATAAAGGTGGCAATTACTTTAGTTGCTAGACTCTATTGCTTTTTCAGAGTCCTAAGAACTCTTTTACCTGGTGACAAGGTCGGTCAGGGTTGGAAAGCACAAGACCAGGTCCGATGATATTGAAGGTGGCATCAATATGCATTGGATTAGGATCTTTAAAGGAGATGATATGCACTCTGTAGTCTGGAGCAAGATGTCTACGCATCCATTCAATGCCCAGGTTGTTTGTAACCTGAAAGGCAGACATACAATCTATAAAGATTTGGTTCTATGTTTAGAAAACTAAAAATATTTAGGATGAAAATATCTTAATTTGGAAATAAAAAATACAATAATATAGTGTGAAATTTCAGAGGCAGCCTCTATCAACCTGGCTTCTCTGTGCAAAAATATCTCTTCCGGCTCGAATGAAGTCAGCAGCATCAAAGCACGGCTCAAACTCAGTAGTCACAAATTTTCCCTGAGCAGCCAATCTGTGTCTGTCTTCTACAGAATGGATGGGATAATCCTAATTGGAACAAGAATGAACACACACAATGTATTGGTTCATGAGGAAACTATTTATAATGCATACATTATCTTAAAAAATCAGTTCATCATTTCCCAAAATACTACTATTCAGTCCTAGACTAAAACATGCATGGGAATTATGCATGATAAACAAACTAAAACAATAAAACAACAACAAAATAAAAAACTAAGCATTACGATAAGTAGTTTCCTATTATCCATGATTTTGCTTTCCACAGTTCAGTTATCTGAAGTCAACTGTGGTCTAAAAATATTAAGATAGTTTGAGAGACAGAGAGAGAGGGAGAGGTGGGGGAGGGGGAACATCATACACATAACTTTTATTACAGTAGATTATTGTAATTATTCTGTTATTAGTTATTTTATTAACCTTTTACTGTGCCTAACTTATAAACTTTATCATAAGTACATATGTATAGGAAAAACATAATATATAATATATAGGGTTCAATATGATCCACAGTTTCAGGCACTCACTGGGGATCTGAAATATATCCCTCCCCTCCAATGTAAGGGGGAACCACTGTACTTAGAAAAGAGTGGTACAGGGGCAGTAATTGATTCTGAAAATGTTCCAAGACCCACACATTGATTTATGTAGCTATCGATATGAACATGTGTTTATACTGCAAGTTAACAGCATGAAGTCATACTGTTCTTTTAGAAAAGGAATTTGGTCCTGAGCCTAACTCACACCATAAAATGAGATGCCATGCTTACCCTGCCAAACTTGATGGGGTGTGGCAAAATAAATTCATTATTTACTTCTGTCTTTAAACCTCTAGAAGAAATTTTTATTTTTAAATTTTTCCATAAATGATCAAATATAAGTGGTTTAATAAGGGATATACATTTCATTTTACTGTGAATTTAGCCTGTGGACCAGGTTCTTTTTCTAAGAGAAGAAAATAAACTTCAGCCTAGTGACTTCCCTAGTTCCACTAACGACTGGAAGTACGCCAGCCGGCAAGTTTTCCTCCCCATCATGGAATGATACTACGGTACTCCCTCATAGGGTTGTTGTGAAGAATAAACAGGATTGAGGATGTAAAATAAAGAATTAAGCCCAGGACACAGCACAAGGTAAGCACCAAATAAATGTCAGCTATTACTAATAGTATTACTATCATAAGATCATTTACCTTCTTTTTATCATAAAACAACCATTTTTAAAAAATTAAGTGGTATTTTCCATTTCTAAAATGCGTAACATATACAAGGTATCAGAGAATCTCTATTTTACTCTTTGTGGACTATTTAGAAAAGTTACTAATAAATGGGCCTATTATTAGGGACTTACCTGGTCATAAAGCTTATCAGCCATCGTGGGCTTAGGAGCCGTGGTCCACTTGGCACCACGGTGGAAGTAGTCTTTGATAATTGACCGGTATGCTCGGTACTCAAAGAAGCGCGCACGCCACGCCATGGGAGCCTCGATAATCTCATTTCCCACGACTATCAAGATGTCTCGCGGCATCGCACTGTATAAACCTGACAGACCGAAAAGTTCCACAACAACCTCAGTAGTGTTAATTTCAAAGACAGAAAATTCCATATATTATTAATATAATCTCATTCTTAAGTAAGAAAAAAATTACTAAAAGCCCTGTACATGTATATATATATATATATAATTATACAAAAATGGAAAAAGAATATAATAATACATACTAGATTGTTAACATGAATTCTGTGTGGGGGTGGCAAAGCCAAGCAAAAGGAGAAAAAGAAAAAAAATGAAGCAGTAAAGTCTGCACAAAGAGATCTTGAACCATTAAGACTTCACCATTTGTAAGTTCCTTTCTTGCTGTCCAGAAACAGAGTTCTTGAAAGACTGTCAGTGATATAAGATAAAAATTGGGCCAAGGATCATTCTAAAACTATAAATTAGAACACTAACCTCAGGCACAAGAACAGTAGTGCAGCAATGTCAGTTAAAAATAGAAATGTTTCTATTCCCCTCTTAATTTCTGTTCTTGAGGAATATGAAATGGAATCCATTGTTCTTATGTAAACAAATGACCATAAAGTTTAGGAAAAACCGCTTGTTTAAAGGAGAGTCCACTAGATTTACTATGGAGTTTAGAATGTGCGTATCTTAATCATATCAACACAAACCAAACCATTCCTAAATAATTCTTTTTTTCTGATGATAAACTTAATTATGAGCATTAACTAATCTTTAAAGTTTGGAAGAGTATGTAAAACAAAGGAATCTCCAAGAAATTCTGAGAGCTTTCTCTTTACATGTTGAGAAAGAAATTGAAAATGAAGACACTGGTAATTTAGTTATCTAACATCACTTACCCGTAGACTCAAAATCAGGAGTTTTATACTTCAGCGACCAGTCAATGGGGTCAGGCCTCTTCACTGTCACTCCTTCCATTTTTAAAATATTGCACATTTCTTCAATTTCAGTAACAGCCTTTTTCAAATGATCTTTGGGAAAATAATGGCCTCCATGCTTCTGGTAAAAGGGCCAGTACTTTTCATATGTGTTAGCCTAGAAATAGAAGAAAGTAAATGGAATACTTATAGGAGAAAAATATGATATAATATAGGTTATATTATATATAATATATAATCATATATAATATAGGTTATATTATATATAATATATATAATAATATATATAATATAGGTTCACAGGCAGAGGCAACTCTTAGTATGGTGTCATGGAATTGAGACTACAACCACGACTTGTTCACTGACAATCCCCAGCATTGAGCATACTGGCACTCTGGGCAAACACTCCACATTTGTTGAATGAAGAACTCTTAAATTATCTTCCTATTCTGAGGCCTTTTGCTGCTTCTGCCCGAGATCTCATGCTCAACCACTAAGAGCATGTCTGCCCACGGATAGGCTTGGAATCCTCTTGGCCAGTTTGTACCATGCTTTAGGTCCAAAACAGAACACAGGCATTCCTGTTAGAGAGTCTCAGTGTGATATGAAACTAGGGAACACAGGAGTTTGAGGTTGCTGTGAGCTAGGCTGACGCCATGGCACTCACTCTAGCCTGGGCAACAAAGCGAGACTCTGTCTCGAAAAATAAAAAAATAAAAAAAAAAAAGAAAGAAACTAGGGAACAAACAAAATAGCCTAAGAATATAAAAGCACCTATACTAATCCAAAACCATACGTAACCCATGCATGACCCATACGTGACCCAGAGTTTCATGGGATGTTGGAACACAGCACCTCAAGATATTTTATGGCAAAAAAGAGATATTTTAACCCTGTTAAGGTCAGGAACATACTTTCAAAATATGCTTTATTTCTCTTAAAAACCCGTTATTGATTTTTCTGTCCAACAGAATTAGCACTAGGCAAAATTGTGCAGCTGTGCAAGTCTGCCTTTAGTACTTCCCTGTCAGTGTGCCTCACACCAACCATGCCTCTCCTCTCCCCAATCCATTCAAGCTCTCACATCTCTTCAGGTTCTTTTGTCACAGAAGAAAGTGATCTGATAAACAAATTCACAAATTTTTAGTAGCTAAAAAAAATAAAAAACCTTAACAATAGAAAGTTTCCAGGGGTTATATGTATTTTAAAAGACAACAAGACAGTAAACAACTGAATGCTTTCAAATAGCTCAATCCATTTGCTAAAAGTTGAATTAGGGTAGGTGCAACAACTGTAAAATATTGTTTTCCAAAAATGTAAAAATCTAGAAAGATTCTGCATTCAGATTGCTTTGCATATGTCTAAGATCTCAATTTAAAGAAATACATTGGGAAATATACATGATGTGTTCTACAGTTGATCAAGATAGATGAAACAGAACTCTAATCAGAGAATCCAGAATCTAAGAAAAATCCTTGGACCTTCATCAAAAGATTTGCAAAGCAAGGTACATTTGTATGTTTTAAGTTAAAAAATGTTTTCAAGTTTTTAAATTTAAATTTTTGTTAAAAAATGTTTAAAGCAGGTATTTAAAAAAGTGTTTCTTTACACCACAGATTAACTGTCCAACCACCAGTACTGATCATATCAGATAGTAGGGTTTCCACCATAAATTGGATAATTTCAGATAGTGGTAAGTACTAGAAAGTACTAGAAAGTAAAACTGGGTAACGGGCTCAAGGGTATCTACTTTAGCTTGATATTCTCCCATTTGGTGCCTCCAGCAATGCTGCCTAAGACATAGGGCAAGTTCTCATATGCTCATTTCACATGCAAGGAATGGGGCTCAGGGAGGTCACATGCTCACTTGCCACCTGCACAAGCAGGACTAGGACTCAAATGCTCTGTTACTCTCACAGTGTTCCTACTACACCAAGGGAGGTGGTTAATACACTGGTTTGAACATTTGTATCTTGATGTGTAAAAACTTTTAAAACTGGAATTTCTTAACATAGTTTATATAGTTCCCAATGGTTTTTGCTCATCAAGACTGGACTCAATGTCTACATGTCTACTTCTTTAATGGCAAAGGAAATATCTTTTCTAGACTTTGTGTCTCTAGTTCCATTTTTACCTTCCATTTTGACAAATATAAAATACATGAAAGCAGACCTGCCTCTTGTTATTTCGATATCTAGGTTCACATCAGTTAGGCTGGAACCCAACTTGGTTAATAACGAATAAGCCAAAAAACAGATCTTTAGAAAACATGAATGATGCCAGTGAAGCTCTAAAGTAGGGGTTGGTAAACAAAGGTCCATGGGCCAAATCTGGCCCACTGCCTGTTTTTGTAAATAAAGTTTTATTGGAACACAGGCACACTCATTTGTTTACATATTGTCTAAGGCTGCTTCTGCACTACAATGGCAGTAGTTCAGAGTTGAGTAGCTGCAACAGAAACTGATGATCTGCAAAGCATGAATTATTTATTATCTAGCACTAAACAGAAAGTTTGCTGACCTCTCGTCTGAATCACGAATTAGTTCCTTTACTTTTAAAGATGTACAGGCAAATAGCAGGCTCAATTTCTGGCCTATAAAAATTGTTATCAGCATTAAATATTTGAGTAATTTTTAAGACCAATCTACCCTTTCAAAAAACAAAACAAAAGCACTCCACTGTTTTCTACTCCTAGGAATTTGTGCAGCAGCAGCCAGGAAGAGAGGGTAATAACAACTCTTTATAAATTCCTCTCAGACACATCCTGGTACTACTTATCCATTCACCATTTCCTCCTTCTCATGCCAGGCACATCTCTTACAATCCGCTAAAGCACAAGAAGCCTTTGAAAATTTAACCCTGGGTTACAGTGGATGCAGAGTTATGTTGTCTTGCCAGACTCATTCCAAAGAATCCCGCGTGACTACACAGAGTGAAGCTTGCCTTGATAAATATAAAGTAAACTTTCCTGGGAGAAAAAAGTTATTTGAACAAATGTGAGTTTTCTTGAATAGCAGATAATCTGGCAAAGGTTGGACAAAGTCCAAATGACAGCGCCCATTATTACATTTTCCAAGAGATAGCTGGAAATTGTTTACACTTACTTTATAACCCTGCTAAGTGAGTTCATACTCATTTACCAAGCCGTCTGTAAGATAATGAACACTATATTAGATGTTTAGCATGTGATATTTTAAATAATCTGTTGCAGAGATGTGGCTGCATTCCTGGAAACTTCACAGTCTTTCAGAGCCTAAAATCCTTTACAAGGGCTTGCCAAATGAATTTTTAAATACTGTCTTTGGAAGACTAAGAAATAACAATGGAAACCTACTTCTTATTTATCCAGCTGTAAACTTATATTAACCTTGATTAATCTTGCATTTTATAAAAGGCCCTTTACCCAAGGGCTTTATTTTAAAAAAAGATAAGCAAAACAAAAAGCACATATTTGATAGCAAGTATTTACTATGTTTTGCTGAACAAAAGCCATATATATAGCTTTTAAAGATTGTGCTTCCTAACAGCTATGTTTCTCACTCCTTTTCTCAAAATTTCACTAGCACTTACATCTCCCAACATCTTATTCTCTAACTGCTTATAGACAGTTTACTATTTTATCTTTTATTGTTTCCAAACTGATTAATATATCTGTGGCATTCTTCTCCACCAGAAGGCACAGACTTGTCTAGAGGTCACGTATGTCTTAGATTTACCTTCTTCTCCCTCAATACCAGTCTTAGCATGTGGCATAAAACAGAAATAACCAGAGGAACGAAATCAATTCTGTAAATGTTACTAGTATCTACAACCAGTACACTCTCAATGGACTTTTGTAATATAATTGGCAAACAGGATCCATGCAACTGTAACGAATTGTAGTTTTATACTTTAAAAATCCTGTACATGTAACCTTTTACCTTTAGATTAATCCTTTAGGTAGATAACAAATGTCTTAATATTTTCATTTTACTGGGGCCCAGAAATTTCTGGAATCGTGCACAAGGTCAAATAGCTAATTAACTGAGACTAGCTATCAAGCTTTTATCAAATACCTAATTCGATCCCAGTCTCCTGACTTGCCACAAACCCTTGAAACTACAAAGTCTAGTCATAGATCAAGTGATAAAGAACTCAAAATAATGTCTGAGAATTCTGATTCCATAAGATCACATGATATGAAAGTCAATAATTTTAAAGATAAGTGGAAGGATAAATTATTGCCTGAATTTGAACTTTAATTTCATCCAATTAAAATGGATAGGGGATGGGACAACTTCTTTTCAAGAAAAGACTTATAAAGACTATGCGTTTTTAAAACATGTGGATGATACATAAATTAATCTGCTCATCAAATTTCAAATATCAGAACCAAATATAGTTTCATAACAATTAGAAGAAATTATTACTTTTTCTATTACCTTGTTTCCCAGGTCTAACTCAAGAACCATTTTTGGCCGGGTGCAGTGGCTCACGCCTGTAATCCTAACACTCTGGGAGGCCGAGGCGGGCAGATTGCTCGAGGTCAGGAGTTTGAAACCAGCCTGAGCAAGAGCAAGACTCCATCTCTACTATAAATGGAAAGAAATTAATTGGCCAACTAATATATATAGAAAAAATTAGCTGGGCACACATGCCTGTAGCTGAGGCAGAAGGACTGCTTGAGCCCAGGAGTTTGAGGTTGCTGTGAGCTAGGCTGATGCCATGGCACTCACTACTCTAGCCTGGGCAACAAAGCGAGACTCTGTCTCAAAAAAAAAAAAAAAAAAAAAGAATCATTTCCTTCAAGAATACTTCCTAACTATCCAGCACTTACTATTATTTTTCTTCCTTTGCTCTCCTGGCACTACAATTCAACTGCTTTGCCAGTTGATTGGAGTAAGATACTTAGTCTTCATTTCTATGTGAACATCATATCTCTCCAAAAGAGAGGAAATTCTTTTGTGTTAACACCTCTAGAGTCCTGATACACAGTAGGCAATATTTCTGATGACCATGACAATGCTGTTACAGAACTTATTTCCTCAATCCTCATTACAAATAAAAATGTAGATATTCAGGAAAAATTAAGGACATCAAAGATACATTTGTAACCCATTATTAATGAGAGTTTAGGCTGTTGTCTACAATGTAAATGATGCTCCTTTAGATATTGGACCCTTATACTATATACAACCTGAACAACAGCCCATAGAGGTCTGACCATAAGAATTTCACAGATTAAAAAACACTAGGAATTTTAAAAAAGAGAGCTATTACATGTTGCCAGGGAAATACTGGAAGGTTTGTGAAAGGAGTCTTTGGAGCTAGGTGGTGATAAATTTAAACTATAGGTAAGAGGGTGCAGGAGGATACGTGGAAGAGATTTAGGTGGGAGCAAAAACACAGGGCTTTCTAGGGAACAGAGAATAATCCAGTTTAGCAGCGCATAAGGTTATCTTATAAAGTCTGCTGACAACCAGAGTGGACTATTAGAGGAAAGGAGAGACATAAACAGGAATGAACATCTGCTAACCTGCCATACTAACACATCTCTAATGTGTTTAAACAGGGAGTCCTAGAAATGCAGACAATTGCCAGATTGTGAAGGATCTTGAATAGCACAAGGACTTTATCCTAAGCAATGGGAGGCTAGCAAACTAGAGGAGTGAAGGGAGCAGGATGAGCAGCATGATCAAATTTGGGTTTAAAAAATCACTTGGATAGAAGTTGGAAGGTATTTTGGAGAGAAGAGTGAGTAGGGGAGACCAGTTAGGAGTTAACTGCAATAGTTCAGGCAGTAGATGAGCTCCTGACCTAAAGCAGAGGCAGAAGAATGGAGACAAGATTCATTTTGACAAAATATATGTTAGTTCTTGGAGAATGGATGTGGAGGATGTGCCTGAAAAGAGAAATCAAAGATGATTTAGCTTGATTAAATAGGAATGCCAAAGCTTAAAAGGAAGGAATGAAGAAGGGTCTAGTTTAGTGGGGTGGCTGGCACTTGAACTCTAGATGTCCCAACTCTGAGGTCCTGTGGCAATATCCAGTAAGGAGTTTACCAAGTTGATGCAGAGGGAGATCTGGACCAGAGTGGAGGTGGTGGGTAGGTAGCTGTGAAAACGGCTAACAGGAGGCCAATTGAAATTCTACTCAACCCCAACATTACAGACTGTGAAGGAAGATCTGAGCAGACTGTGAAGGAAGATCTGAGGAACAGCAAAAGAACCAAGATCCCCAGAAAAGGTCTCTCAGAATCCAAGGGAAGAGTTTCAAAAAGGAAGGAATTACCATTGTGGAAACAGTGTCAAATACCATAAAGGTGTCAAGTAAGATAATTCAAAGTTAACCACTGGATTTGGGAGGTCGAGGGGAGTCAGCCAAAGTGAAAGCAGTTATAGAGGAGGTAGTAGTAAAATCCGGCTGCAGAAGGTAAGGAGGGAACCCACTTTCAGACACATGAATACCCTTGCTTTACCTTCACCTCGACGGTGAATGGCGGAACACAGGCGTTTTCTGCTCTGCCCACTATCACTTCCTCCAAGGGGTCCCATTCATTGTACGAGGAGACAGGGCAGTCCTTGGGCAGAGGATCAGTGGCCTTGTCATCAGCTGCACAGGAGTTCTGGGAGGAAGCCGTAGCTGCCTGGGTGCTCTGGAAAGTTCGCTGCACCCATCCTGTTAAGGTTCTTCCAAGCTTCCAAGAACAAAGGAAAGATTAGCGTGCACCTCCCTATATAATACTTGGGAAGAGGAGGACGAGGAAACAGGATGAAAACTCAGAATAACAGTCATTTAAAACCCTTTAGGAGAACTTAAACCAAGATGTTAATACTGTATAGGTGGGTAGTGGGATTACAGGTGATTTTCTTTTACCTTCCCATTTATCTATAAATTTTATTTATTAATTGCTATAACTCTTTAAACCCCCCTCAGAAGATTGTGTGCCCAGAGGCCATACACCCTCATTTTATCTCAGATTGGGTTTCTGCGATCAAGCTTTAGGCAACTGTTCTGCAGATGATGGGTCAACACTCTTCTCAAAGATGGCAGAATGCTGCTCTACACCGTCCAGCCAAGCCCAGCTGGGGAGGAAGCCTCCTTTCCCCTTCAGTATCAAAGGTTACCCATACTAGGTTTTTTTTTTTCAAATGAAAACGTGGAAGGACTTTGTAAAGGTCTTTTGTAAAGGACTTTGTCTTTCAGAATAATCAGCTTCAAACCAGAAGTTTTTCATCTTTGACATGCACTTCACTTTCTTTGGCATGTCAGTTCTGAGAGTGACCGACTGCCATCTGCTTCTTTTTACAGATGGCCCACAGTACCCGAGCCAAGATAAAGATGAACTCGGGCACAAATTTAAACAATTAAAAACGAGATCGAAGAACTTCAAGAAGCCTTTAAAAAGGGTAGGGCCTATACAATCTAGAGTAGAGGGCATCCCTCTCAACCACTGAGCCAACCTCAACCTCCAAATCTCTATCCTCTGTTAAAAGCCTCAGTTAGGGGAGAGGAGGGGAGCTGGGGTGGGGACCAAAGCAAGAGGGAGAGCGGCAGCTGTGCAGGACCTGGTTCCCGGGGGAGCCAAACTGCCCAAGCTATTCCAGTCCCAGGAGCAAGGGAGGGTCTGCAGGCGCACGCGGGCACCGCAGGGAAGCCGAGGGCGGGGACTGGGCAGAAACTGCGAGTACAGGCTGAACTCGCCCCAACTCCTCTCGCAACTCAGGACTCCATGTTACACTTGGAGCGAGCCTGCTCGCCCGCCCCGCGTCCCCATTCCCTTTGCTTGCCCCTTCTCCCCATCCATCCGCTCCACACGCATTTCCCCGAAAGCTCCCCAACTCCATGCCCACCCAGGGCTCTGAACCCAATAACGCCACCCTTTCACTACGAAGAGTCTCCGTCGACCCCACCCCCTCGCCCTGGGCGGGAAGCTCGGTGGAAAGAACAGAGGTCCAGACAAGGAGGGCGGCGCCCCTGCGCTGCGGGCCGCCGCGCCGAGACGCGCAGACTGCAACTGCACCCCAAGGGGCGCGGCCGCAATGCACGCCCTCCTGCCCCGGGGACGCCGCCACGTTCCTGGCAGCCCGCAAAGGCTCTTGAAGCCGAGCCTCCAAGCGGGACCAAAGGGCCGCTGTCAGGCCGTCCCTGCTGGGGGAAGCGGGGGGACGCGGGGGCCCCGGGAAGGAAGCGAGCGCCCCGCGCCGCGCGCAGCCCAGCGCGGCCGCCAGACCAGGCCGGCGGTGCACGCACCCGAGACCCGATGTAGTGCACCGCCTCGGCGCCGCGGCTCCCGCCGCGCAGGCACCGCACCCGCAGCATCGCTCCGGCCCGGCTGGTCCACGAGCGCAATGTTCCCGGTGCTGGGCCGCGTCCGCGCGACGATCCCGAGAGCGCGCCCTAGGCGGGTGGGCGGGCGCGCGCCGTCCCGGCCTTTTGTAGCCGCGCCCCGCCCCGGCCGCCCCCCGCCGCCCCATTGGCTGCCGGGAACAGGTGGCGGGGCCGGGAGCGGGGCCCGCGCCCGCCGCCCGAATTAGGAGCTGTCTGGAGTCGCCGGGGGCCGGGTCGGGCTCCGGGCTTGCCCTTTTTTAGTTTGTCAGCCCACTGCTTGGCTTCTGCTGCGCGCCCGGAGCCCGGCCGGCCCTGGCGCGGCCCAGGAGGCCCCTGGTGTCCCGGGGAAGGGGGAGGTCGCGACTTCGGATGGAGTGAACTTCATTTCATGTTCTATATACATCTATTGTTTTAAGTGCCCTTTATGAATTTAAATATGCAAAGCGTGAGTACAAGCTTACGTTTAAATTCACGGATGTGCACTGACCCAGTCCCCTGATTTTACAGTGAACCAAACCACCTAAAGACTAGGTAGCTTCTCAAGGCAACGCCCGGTGTGAGGCTGGAGGGGACCAAGGCCTGACGCCGGTCACCTGCTCCCCCCATTACTGCGTTACTGCGCGCTTTCCATCCACTAGCCTGTTGGGTGTTAGGAACACTTGACATTTCAAATGGTCTTTGGCCATATGCCCCTGGCTTGAGGAACTCATGAAAATAGAGACAAATGTGGGTCAGATATAAGGGAGGACCGGAGATAGTTTTTTCCTTCCACTTCATGTATTACAATTTTTTAATTTATTTACATTTTTTTTTCTTTTTCTTTTTTCTTTTTATGTTTTGAGACAGAGTCTCACTCTGTTGCCCAGGCTAGGGTGAGTGTCCTGGTGTCAGCCTAGCTCACAGCAACCTCAAACTCCTGGGCTCAAGCGATCCTGCTACCTCGGCCTCCTGAGTAGCTGGGATTACAGGCATGCGCCACCATGCTCGGCTAATTTTTTCTATATATTTTTAGTTGGTCAATTAATTTATTTCTATTTTTAGTAGAGACTCACTCTAGCTCAGGCTGGTGTCGAACTCCTGACCTCGAGCAATCCGCCAGCCTCGGCCTCCCAGAGTGCTAGGATTACAGGCGTAAGCCACCGCGCCCGGCCAAATTATTTTTCTTTTTAAAATCATGTACTGAAATGTTTGTTTCAACTTATTAGGATGCTTTTTTAGAAAAGTATTTCTCTCATAGTGCAGTGTTAATTGCTGTGAATTTGTGCAAAACTAGAGAACAGTTTAACGTCTAAGTTCCTAGCAGGAAAGGGGGCAAGAGATTTATTTCATTTTTGTACTTACAAAATATGTAACTATTCATTTCTAATGAGCTGTCTCTTAAATTCTGGTATCTCAAACTTGTTTTCCAGAGATCATTGATGGAAGGCACCAATCAGGATGGCATGGGTGAAAGAGCCTTGGAGAGGGAACTGGGAGAACTGAGTTTAGTCTTGACTCTGTTACAGACTACTTTGTGTCTTCCTGAGTTGCAATCTTTATCTGCAGAGTGAGAACAATTGCATTTATTGTCCCTAGCACTGGGGTTGATGAGGGTCCAAAATGAGAGATCGTGCTTGCAGAACCTGATGTTGCACCAACAGTTATATAAATATGAGCTACTATATTACCACTGTAACAATAAGGAGGCCCCCAAAAGTCATAATATGGTGAAAGGAGTAAGTCTAAATTCATATCTCAGCTCTGCTACTAACCTGGTGTGTGACCTGGAACCAAATCCATTGACCTTTCTAATGAAGGCTTTACATTTTTAGTGAGGGCGTTGGGAAACCTCTTAACATTTCTCAAAATTTAAAATATAGGCTGGGCATGGTGGCTCACACCTGTAATTCTAGCACTCTGGGAGGCCAAGGCAGGAGGATCAATTGAGGTCAGGAGTTTGAGACCAGCCTGAGCAAGAGCAAGACTCCATCTCTACTAAAAACAAAAAAAAATTATTAGATGGGCAACTAAAAATAAAAAAAAAAAATTAGCCAGGTATGGTACCTATAGTCCCAGCTGCTTAGAGGCTGATGCAGGAGGATTGCTTGAGGTTAGGAGTTTAAGGTTGCTGTGAGCTAGGCTGATGCCACAGCACTCTAGCCTGGGTGACAAAGCAAAACTATGTCTCAAAAAAAAAAAAAAAAGTATCTTCTCCCAACAATAAAATGCAGCCCCTTCTGAGGTCTCATTCTCTCAGTGTATTTAGGGTGCCCAGACATATGTCCTCCTTAATAAAGGAATTAGGAGTACAGTAAGTACACATAACAAGGCCTTGACATTACCCTATGCCATTTCTCTCTAAGATCTAAGGACATCTTCATGTCACACATTAAAGACACTATTTTAATTTTGCAGATGTAAGAATTGGGAGTGCCTGGTAATAAAGAGGCTAGGGTGTCATGGCTTTTTCCATAAAGCCATACAGCACACCCTTGGATCTAGAAGAAAGTATATGGATCGAACCACCCAAATCAGTGCTATTGTTATAAAAGCAAATCATATCACTCCCTTCTCTCCTTTATTTTTTGTTCTCAAAAAAAAAAAATTCTGTAACAAATTTTAGATTGACCTCATAAATTGAAAGCACAGCCTTCCATACTAGATTGTTTGTCTAAGACTGGGCCAAATCTGCACAGTTCTATAGTGATACTTGGTAACTCCTTGGTCTGTATGTGTTGCTTTATTCAGAATAAATGGAAAAGACTGTGTGAACTCTTGCAGTCCCTTCCTCCTCTGGCAGTAGATAATACCAATAACTTTGATCGAACCAATAATTTTAGGATCTTGATTGTCTCATATTTAGTGGTTACACATATTCAAGTCTAATAGTAGTGTACCCTTGTAGCTTAAATTCATAATTTAGGGTAGTGTGGCTGTAAAAGGGGATAAAAGGACAAGGAATAGAAAACACATCAGAAGCATGCCAAAAGATTCTGCTTTTCAATTTCTCTCTTATTACTGTTCCTTCGGGGATACAACTCTACCTGGTTCCAACCAACAAAGTAAGAGTTTTTGAGATGTCTCTTGATAGTAAAATAACACAAACAACTAATAAAGTCATTGGGTCAACAAAATGTACAATAAAAGAGCTTGTTGTGAGAATTATTTCATTATCATAGTTGACCTCAGAATCTGTACAAAGGGAGCAAATGTACGTACAGAGGAAGGTGTTCCTAGAACTTAGATACTCTGTGAAACGGGCAAACCGGGAAACACACCATCTGCCCACCACACAACACTGGATGAGATTAGCTATTTTCAGAAGTCACCCATGCTATGAGACATTTGTACCTTTAGTTTAGGGCTGTGTTCCCCAACCCCTGGGCTGTGGACCAGCACAGTCCATGGCCTATTAAGAACTGGGCCATGGCTGCTCCCCAATGCTTGCATCACTGCCTGAGCTCCACCTTTCCCACCCCCACTCCATCCCCACCCCCGTCCCACTCCCCATCAGTGGAAAAATTGTCTTCCATGAAATTAGTCCCTGGTGCCCAAAAAGTTGGGGACCACTGGTTTTGGGGGAAGGATATTTCTCTAATTAAATTAGAAAAAAAATGGTTATTACTCAAGTTCAAGTAAGGTAACTAAAGTGTAGTCCCATAAATGAAATGTAAATAAAGTTAAAAATTTTTTTAAATATCATTTGGGCTGCATTAATATCTTTGGAAGCATACACAAGACACTGACAACATAAGTTGCCCCTAGGGAAGGGACCTGGGTGGCTGGAGGACAGCAGTGAGATTTTTCACTGTAAACCTTATTGCACTTTGGAATTTTGAACATGTGAATGAATTGCCTAATATGTAAACAAAAAATAAATTTTAAAGATGGCATTTACAGAAGTGTGATTGTCAACATGAAGTCCTTTTTTTTTTTTTTTTTTTTGAAGACTAGTCAAGTGCAGTAGTGAGAACATGAAGTCTTTAAAAAGGAAGCCTAGGCCAGGCGCAGTGGCTCAAGCCTGTAATCCTAGCACTCTGGGAGGCCGATGCAGGAGGATAGCTCAAGGTCAGGATTTCGAAACCAGCCTGACCAAGAGCGAGACCCCATCTCTACTAAAAATAGAAAGAAATTAATTGGTCAACTAAAAATATATAGACAAAATTAGCCGGGCATGGTGGTACATACCTGTAGTCCCAGCTACTTGGGAGGCTGAGGCAGAAGGATTGCTTGAGCCCAGGAATTTGAGGTTGCTGTGAGCTAAGCTGATGCCATGGCACTCTAGCCCAGGCAACAGAGTGAGACTCTACCCTATACCCAATGGCAGGCACTCCCTCTACCTCCTCCCCGAAACCCAGGCCCTGGCAACCACTAATTTACTTTCTACTTATTAATTTGCCCACTCTGGACTGCTATAGTTTGGATATTTGGCCCTCCAAACCTCATGTTGAAACGTGATCCCCAATGTTAGAAGTGGGGCCTAATAGGAAGTGTTTGGGTCATAGGGACAGATCCCTCGTGAATGGCTTGGTGCCACCCTCACAGTAATGAGCAAGTTCTCTACTAGTTCTCGTGAGAGCTGGTTGTTAAAAAGAGCTTGGCACCCTCCACCCCCACCACATCCTCTCTTACCATGTGATCTCTGCACACACCAGCTCCCTTTCATCCACATGAGTGGAAGCAGCCTGAAGCCCTCACCAGAAGTAGATGCTGGTGCCATGCTTCTTGTACAGCTTGCAGAACCATGAGCCAAATAAACCTCTTTTCTTTATAAATTACCCAGTCTCAGGTATTCCTTTAGAGCAACACAGAAGACTAAGATATGGGCATTTCATATAAATGGAACCATATAATATGTGGCCTTTTGTGTCTGGCTTCTTTCACTTAGTATGTTTTTAAGGTTCATCCATGTTGTAGCACGTATCAATACTTCTTTCCTTCTTAAGGCCAAATTATATTCCATTGCATGAATATACCACATTTTGCTTATCTATTCATCAGGTGATGAACATTTGCTTCCATTTTTGGCTATTATGAATAATGCTGTTATAAAATTCATGTACGATTTTTTTTGTTGTTGTTGTTGCCCAGGCTAGAGTGAGTGCCGTGGTGTCAGCTTAGCTCACAGCAACCTCAAACTCCTGGGTTCAAGAGATCCTACTGCCTCAGCCTCCCGAGTAACTGAGACTACAGGCATACACCACCATGCACGGCTAATTTTTCCTATATATATTAGTTGGCCAATTAAT